GGTTGTTCGCGTGTGCGTTGTTTCTGTGTGCTGTATTCTTCTGTGTGCTGTTCTGACTTTGTTTGTGTGTGTACACATGTGTGTATGCGCGCGTGTATATGCCTGCGAGTGATTGTGTGCGGACGCACATGTGAACCTGCACACGCGAGCATGTGAGCATGGCGTGCGCACAAGCACATGGATGAGTCACGAACGCCACGGGCTTAATTTGACTCAACACCTTAACCCCCCGAACTCAGCCCCGGGGCACCGGCGAGTGCAACCTCGCGACAGCGGATGTGGAGGCGCTGCGGGCCGGGCGCGACGCCGACGCCATCACTAAGGTGCGCCAGGTTGTGCTGGTGGAGGGCAGGGCGGCTCAGCGCTGCGGCACAGGGGCTGCAAAGTCGGGCCGAACGATCTCCCCTCAAAACAGCTCAGGCACACCCTCCGCCTCTCCTCCCCCCGGATTGGGCTGCAGCCCGGTCTCAGCGCGGGGCCGTCAGCCTATTCATGCCTTCATTTCCTCAGCGTAAAGCGACAATGCAACTCGTTTCGACACCCCAAACCCCCCGCCGCGCCGCGCCGTCCCGGCCGCCCGCCCGCCGCCAGGCGTACCGCACGGCCACGCTGGCACTGCTCGCCAACGGGGAGGGGCTGCTCCGGCAGCTGGGCTCGCGGCAGGCCTCCCTGCTCACGGTGGGCCCTGGAGTGTGATGGCAATATTTCCTTGCGGGTTGGGCATGGGCGGAGCCAGGAGGGGGTTGACTGGCTGCCGGAGTGACCCGTCCCCTCTGCTTAATTTACAGAGGGGTTGGGTGTTCGGGCAGAGGCGCGGCCGCGTGTTGGTGAGGCCACACAGATCGTCCAGTGGGCCTGGCTCCTGGCAGAGGCCTTGAGTGCTGTGCTGGGCCCTGGCCGCCACAACGTGAGCTGCCTACGATCCCAATTGCCAGGCCAGAGACCCTAAGACCAAACACACACACACACACTCTCTCTCTCTCTCTTACACACGCACACACACACATGCACACACACACACACACACACACACACACACAATCCCGCCCCCAACAACCGCCGCCAGGTCACCGCATACCTGCGTGATGCGGAGGCCGGCGTCGCGGGGTTCAGTGAGGCCTGGGCCGAGTGGATTGGATGCAACGAGCCGCCAGGCGTGCTGGTGCTGCAGGCAAGTACGCACACGTGCGCGCGCGCTCGCGGCCTCCCCCATCGGCTGCCCCTGCTCGGGCTCCCGCCGGCACGTCTCCTGGAGACTGTGGCTGCCCCGCTGGCTTGCTGGCATCGGATGATGAGCCGCAGTGCCGGTTGAGACGCCGTGCAGTCATCCAGTCTCCAGCGCTCGCAGCTCTTGCAATCGTATGCGCAGCGGCGACGAGCCCCACTCTGAGAAGCTGACTTTGCTGATTGCTAATCGAAATCAACCCCTCTTACAGGGGAGCGGTCCGGTGCCTGATGTGCCGGTGATCCTCCAGATGACAGGTTACGCCGGCACCGCCGAGGACGAGTGACGCCGGGTGACGGGTGACAGGAGGGGCTCGGGTGACTTGCGGCGACGGCGTGGTGGCGGCCGCGGCTGGCCAGCACGGCAGCGGCTGGCAGCGCGCGTGGCGGGACGGACTGCGGCATGGTGGCTGGCTGCTTGCGGCGGCGGCACTAACTTGCAGCGCGTGGGGCGCAGCATGCCGCGAGTCGCGACGCTTTGAAGAAGGGACGATGGTTGGGGGCTTTGAGCTTTATCGGGTGATTCAGGGGGGAGTGCCTGCCGCTGTGCATTTGCGACCAAGCTGGCATGTGTGGTGGCCGCGCCACATGCTAGACGTGCGAAGAGCACTGTGTTTGGGGCGATCAAGGCAGGCTCTGCTGTAATGTTGGGTATACGACGATGCATTGCACGTGGCCTCTTGCTCAATGACCTCACCTTGCAAATGCGATCAGCCTTTTCCTGTAACGATTGTGTGCATGCCAAGATACTTGCCGCGTCAGGATGCCTTATGCTCACGTGCCTCGTACCACCCAGCACTACCAGAAGCCCGCCGCCCCTGAGAATGGGAACAACACCCTCAGCCACTTTGCAACAACTGCTCACGGCGCTAATGCACCACTACTGGCCCTGTCCAGCACGAAAATCGCGCCATGCTTTGTTCTGTACCTCGCAATTTGAAAATCACTGGCGCATCCCAAGGTTTTGGATCACAAGCAGTATGTTCCTGCAGACGAGGGGGAATGGGCGACGGAAAGCTCGCGTGGCTGCGGAGAAACAATCAATCATACGCCGAGTGCGGCAGTGAACTCGCCGCGCCATAGCCTGCGCTGCGTCCCAAGGACGCCTGCCAATGGGCTGCCACTGCGGTGCACACCAAAGGACGGAGATGAACACTGCGCTAGGAAATGGCAACGCGTAACGAACCGTCCGCGCCAGTCCAGGGCAACACCAGCCAAGGCCCTCGCGCCCCGTGCCGCCAACCTGGCTGGCCGGCAATCCTCCAACAACCGGCGTGTCGATGACGGCGCGCATCGGCGTGCCGCCCTCGCGAGGCCAATGCTAGTGAGAGCAGCGGCCTCGGCAGCCCAACAGGCGCTCTGCGCGCGTGACAGCCCGAGGTACCCCGGCCTGGGGCTGCCAGGGGGCAACAGCTACACGGACATTGCCGCGGCGCGGCTGTGCAGGGTTTTCCGAACTCGCTCCTCTGGGCTCCCAGCGGCGGCTCTTCCTTTAGCCCTTGCACCCACTCATCGCACCAACGGGCCACCGTCACGGCACGCCTCGTTTGTATTTGAAAGATAATCCAGAAAGGCACCCCTGCAGGCCCACGCAGCGGGCATGATTGCTGCTGCATGTGGCCAGGAGGTGTGGCAAGACTCCCTGATTGTTGCTTAAAGTGTCCCCTGGAGCTCCTTGTCTCTCCTTAGCTTGCTACCCAGCAGGACGTGACAAATCCTTAGCTAGTCCTTACCCCTCCCTGACAGCTCCTTGCAACAGACCCCCAAGGAAAGATTAAGGAAACCCCCTGTTGTCGCAATCTGTGCTCATTCCACCTGCCGCCTGCCTGTCCCTCCTGCCGCCTGCACCGAGATCCCTTTGCATTTGCCGCATCTGCCCTGGCGACGATCGTCGCTGCCCCAAGGCAAAGCGGCCGCAGGTGGGGTGCGCAGGCTGAGCAGCTTGGGCTGGCAACAGGGCAGGGGCCATATGGTCGTTTCCTTAATCTTTCCTTGGGGGTCTGTTGCAAGGAGGTGTAAGGGAGGGGTAAGGACTATCTAAGGATGTGTCACGTCCTGCTGGGTCGCAAGCTAAGGAGAGACAAGGAGCTCCAGGGGACACTTCAAGGAACAATCAGGGAGTCTTGCCACGCCTCCTGGCCACATGCAGCAGCATTGATGCCCGCTGCGTGGGCCTGCAGGGGTACCTTTCTGGGTGTTTTGTGACTACAATTGAGGCGTGCCGTGGCGGTACCCTACACATTGGTGCGATGTGTGGGTGCAAGGGGGGAAGGAGCGGGGAGGCGCCGCTGGGAGCCCGAAGGAGCAAGTAAGGAAACACCATGTTGTTGCATGGAGGGGCAGCGAGAGGTTGCGCGACTGCGAGCGAAATCTGCAGTGCAGGGCCAAGTGGTGTTTGCGTCACTTCCCAGCTCAAGAAACCTCGGAGCACATCCTGTGATGTTGCTGCGTGTTTTGAAACAAAGGCATCAGCGGGCGTGCCGCCCCGCCAACGACATAGGCTGCTGGCCAACGCGGCATACCGCAGCGCCTTGAAGGCCCCCGCGCACGCGGATCCCAGAATGCTGCCAGCAGCTTAGGAGGTGGCGTGCCACCCACCCTGGTTGCTGTCGATCACCCGTCCTCAAGTGTCATTAATCACCACAACCACACCAAATGCATGATACACACCATCGTGGCGCGCCTGAGTACAAGGCCTTATCCCATGCTCGTCTCGTTCCAGCCGAGGCTCTGTCAAGAGCATTGAGGTCAGCACAACTCTGCCTCCACCCCATTGCATCCGACCACCAACTTTGTTTGTGGGTGCAGTCACCGCGACAAGGATTGACACTATCCCCTCATGCCTTGGGCATGCAGCAGCTGTGTCGCCGGCAGGGGCTGGCCCGCACTGTTGCAAAGATGGGAGCGCACCGGCTTCATGGGGGCCGCTGCCCTAAACACCGCCTGACAGCAAAGTGCAGCTCAAGCTCGAGCTGCTCTCTTCTCGCTTGCTTGTCGCACGTGGTGGGATTTTACAATGGGCTCAATGTGTGTACTGCTTTGCCAAGCACTACTCCAGATGTGTGCGGCTGGCCATCGACCGCGCAAAAGCAGTCCAGCACACCGCATGAACGACATACTCGAGTCTGATGCTACCAAAGGCATGCTTGACAGCAGCCATGCTCAACATATATGCCCTGTAACCTGCTTGATACATCCAAAACGAATCGGCATCCAAATGGATACAAACCATGCACAAGGGCGTCACACGCAAGGTCTGAAGGATAAGGCTTGCAGCAGCTACGGAGGTGACCTCGTCACACAGATTGAGGCGCAGCTGCCACGGCGGCAAAACGCCTGTGGCGCGCGGCCGCCAACCGCCTGCGGTACGCCCAAGCGAGGAAGCCCAGCGGCCGTGACAAGCCCCGCACTATCAAACTCGGGCGGCGGGGACAAGTTGCAGCCCCAAGGCGAAGCGGCCCCTTCACAGCCGCCGCGGCGCCCGCGGGACGCCGCCAGGCCTGTTGCCGCTGTGCCTGCCGCCGCCGCAGCGCCTGCGCCCGCTGCAGCCGCGTGGCGAGCCCCGACGCCGCCGGCAGCCCCGCGCACGCACCCGCCGATCCGCCGCGCCGCCGGCCGCCGCCCGCGCAGCGCCACGCATACTGCGCCGCCCACTGCAGTTCCCCCTGGTGCCGCGCGCTGACCGCGGCGCGGCGCCGCGCGAGCGCGCGGGTGCACGCCAGAAAACGGGAGCTCCACTGCCGCCCCAGCCGCAGTCCCAGCCGCGCAGCCGCGCCGCCCGCCGCGGCGAGCTCTCCCGGTTTCAGGCGCCGCATGCACCGCCAGAGCTGCAGCGACGCGACGTGCATCGTCGGCCCCGCCGGCGCCCACCGCAGCGCCGCGGCGGCCGCGAGCAGCCGCGCCAGGGCGCCGGGGCCTAGGCGCGGGAGCAACGCGCGGGCGGCGCGGCGCAGCGGCGCTGCAGCGCGGAGGGCGTCTGGGGGCGCGTCGAGTGCCGACAGGCTGGAGAGCAGCAGCAGCAACTCATCCGCGCCCCATCCCCGGGGGCCGCGCCGCGCCGCCGCCTCGCTGCCCTGCTCGCTTCCCCTGCCACCGCCCTGCGGTGTGTGTGGATGCGGTGGCACAGCGAACGC